CCCCAAAAAAAAAGACAATTATTTGGAAGTTGTCCCAATAAAACACGTAATGAGTGGGCCAGCCCAGACTCTGTCTGCCAGGGTGTCACACCTTTCCCTCCTTTGCAACAGGTTTAAGGTTTTGACCTTTTGGCTGATGGTTGGTGAAAGGCACTGAGCACTGGAAATGCTCAGTGCCTGTAGGACAGGAGCTTTGGAGGCTTTCATACCTCAGCATTGCTCCAGAGTAAGCACACCACAAATGCAAACCTCTGAGTCTCCCTTCTTTACAGTGTGGTGCTTCATGCAGCTTCTGACAGCCACTGGTAATCGCCAGAGCAGCAATCCCTCCCCTCCCTCCACCTGGATTTTGTCCTGGGTAGCTCAGAGGGGCTGGAGAAGCTGGATCAGCTCAGTGCCTGGTCTCCAAATGCCATACCCAGCACCAGCTCTCCTACTGTGCCTGCTACAAGCTCAGCTTTGCCCAGCACCTTCTGCCCTGTAACCACGTCTCCAGTGAGCAGACACGTCCCCAGGAAGGAGGGAGCTGCACGGTGGTCCTGCCACCCTCACTCAGTGTGGCATGGCCAGGCGCAGTGAGCGTGGCATGACCAAGGCCATGAGTCTGCTCCAGAGACCTGGCTGGAGCCTCTGGCCCATGGTCCCCTGTGCAGGACCCACAAAACCCCTCATGTGAGCTCCCTCAGGCTGCCTTGCACCCTCTGGGGCAGGGCTGAGCTCAATGCCAGGCGTGTCCCTCCAGGCCCACAGCTCAGAGCTGTTTCTGCCCACGTTGGTGCAGGGATGGCCGGGAGGAACCAGTCCTCACCCAGGAAACGGGGCAGGGACAGCTCGGCACAAACAGCATGGCAAGGTCTGTGCAAGGAGGAGCTGGCAGGGGTGTGGTGCCAAGCACCAGGCAGAGGAAATCAGACTGGTTTGAAACCCAACATGAGCACGGCAGAGGAAGGACAAACAACACACGTCCCTGCAGTCAGTGCTGCCTGGCTGGGGCAGGGGCAATGCCCTCACTGGCAGCCGGGCTGGTGCTGCTGCACCCTGTCTAGAGAGCATCAATTTATCCCAAGCTCTGCTGCTTACCATCCTGTGCATCGCTTCCTCCACCTGCTGTTTTTTTTTCCTCCCTGCCTGTTCTTCAGAAGAACACCAGGCGGTTTGGGGCAGAGAACTGCTGTCTGGTTTCTGTTGCCTGCAGCATTGCCGGGCCCTGGTACTGCTGAGCCACTGGCAAGAGCTAAACTCAAACGGTGCTGGGCGTCTGGGCTCACTGCTGTAGCTCAGCACCACTGGGATCCAGGAGAAAGCCAGACCTTGGCAGAAGGTTACTGCAGAACACAGCCTCATGGAGAGAGCTGCTGCTCGGGAGAGAAACAAAATATCAGAACGCAGAGGGAGCCCTGCCTGCATTTGGGAGTAATGTTTTAATCAAACAAAAGCCCTGTTGCCCAAAGACTGGCATGCAGGATAGCCCGTGCTCCCAGACCTCCCTGCCCAAGGTAGTCCAGCCCTGCCATGAGCCCATGGCTCTTCTGATGTGCTGCAGACTCCTCGAGGTGGTAAGAGAGGGATATGTTTATCTGTTGGTTTGTTTATACCTACACACATACTTTGATTTTATTTCCAGGAACTGTTTCAGGGGTTTTCCATTCTCATACCGCAGCTCTCCCTCAAATGCCCTCCTCCCAGCAATGCAGACTAACTGGCAGAGCAGCCTCGGTGCCCTCCTGGGACACTTGCCCTGTCAGCTTGCCCGTGTGCCACCAGCATGGGTACCCTGCTGTCAGCTTGCTCAGAGTCCCCCAGCTTCAAGCCCTGACTGGGAGCAATGAGGACTGGCCCCAGCAGACAGGGGCTGGGAGAGACAAGGCTGCCACCTCCTCTGTGGCCCCTCTCTGCTGTGGCTGTCCCCAGCCCCTCCCGATGCTCCTGAGCTGGAACAGAGTCCCGAGTTGTTGAAAGTCTGTGAGCATGGAAAAGATGTCCTTCCAGTATGCAACATGCAACCCCTCCTGAGCCGAGCAGACACTTCACACAGCATTAACCCCAACAGATTCATGCTTTGCTGCGGGCACACAACTGCCCAGACCAGCCCCAGGGAGAGAGGAACAAGGCAGCAAACTGGGACAACCTGGCAGTGGGGAAAATTAAGGTAGATAAGGGGTAGGAAGTGCAATCAGCAAGAACAACTTTAAACAACACAGGACTGTATGGCACAGCTCCCTCTGAGCTTGCAGCCCAAGAGTCAGGCAGCTCTTCATACAAAGAACAGTCTCAGCTGCCATCACAGGACACACTTGGGCAGCTGGAGGCCCGAAGCTCAGAAGGAAGGAGCAGACAACCTCTGGGTAAGGCAGTGTGAGAGCCAGGAATAGGAAGAGGGCAGGTGTCCTGAGCCCCAGGTCCATGCCCTTGACACAAAGATTGGGTCACCTCTTTGAAACAGGGTCACCTGGGGCGGCCCACTGGTGGTTTCTGTTCAGGACTACAGGGCCAGGAAGGGACCAGTGCAGCAGGACTGGTGTGCAGTTTAGCATTTAACCAAATCACGCTTTGCTGGGGGTAAGGCTAAGACAGCAATTGCAGCCTGGTTTGCAGGCAATTTCAGATGAGGGAAGAGAAAAACCAGTGCAAGGTGAGATGAATGCTTCCCTTGGTCCCATTTGAACAGTTGTGCCAGCTGCAGAGTGGAAACCATAGAGGGCAAAGAGAATCTGCAGTCACTGTGGTTGCCAACAAAGCATGAAGTGACCTGACCATGCCTGGGAGCAAGTAGCATGAGCTACTGAAGGTAAAGGATGAGACTGCCTGACTGCCAGAGCTCAAAGACACCATGCTTTGAAGCAGGTGGACGTGACTTGTCCTGCAGCCAAACTGCAGGAGAAATGCTAAATCACACCTCAGAAATACTCTAGGACACCTCTCCTGGTCAGCATCCCTGCGGCTTTGGGACTGTGCCACACCAGGCTCTCTCTGCCGTGGCCCTTCTTGTCCTGCTCTATCACTCATCAATCGCAGCCTCTGGGCACGTGGGGCATGTGATCAGGCCGGGGCAGCAGAGATGCAGATAGACCTGCTGGGATGCTGCACGGCTCCGATTAGCACAATCAGGCCATCGCACATGGTTTCCTGGCTGCTTGGTACAGCTGCTCCCAGGGTATAAAACCAGCCCTTGGGCACTAGGAGACTCAGACTTCCACCCACCTTGGAAGGAGTGTCCAGCTGTGGGAAGAGATGTGCCAGCCCCAGCCGCTGCTGACCCTGCTGCTCCTGCTTTCCTGCCCGTGGGCCAACGCCAGTAAGCTGGGGTGCCGCAAGCTGCTGCGAGTGAGACTGCTGATCTGGGCTCTGACCTCAGCAGCCACCAGCTCATCCTGCGCTGGGATGTCTTGCAGGTGCTCTACGGGGTCAGATTGTGGGGGGCCACGAGGCTCAGCCCCACTCCCACCCTTACATGGCATACCTGAAGGTAGGGATGTTCGCCTGCGGAGGCTTCCTGGTGGCCCCTGACTGGGTGATGACAGCTGCACACTGCATGGGGTGAGTACTTCATACAGGAGTTTTATCCCCTTCTTCCTTCCCTAACCTGTGAGGTCCATCACTGTAGTAATTTTGGAGTAGGTTCTTCTTCCTCCTGTGCTGAGCAGCTCTCTCCACCTGCCTGCAAAAGGGGAGGGACGCAGGTGAGAACCAACCTGTTTTCCCCATTCT